TCGAATCCCTGTTTCCTGTCGTATACGAAGACAACATTCCCATATCGCCTGGAAGTGAAATTGCTCAAGTAGTGCCGATATCAAGTGGTTTTACGAATACTAAAAAGCCGACTCGGAGGCGAAGAGCACAAATCGACGATAACCCGGATAAGACTATTGCTTCACGTTTAGCAGCTCTTCAAGCTCGACTTGATGCAGCTAAAAACGAACTGGTCAATGCAACTCGTACGCTCCAACTAAAGCTGTCGATAGTTGAGACTGATAACAAGAAACTGTCAGAACGGAACGCTCGTTTGAAGACTCAGCTCTCGTTGGCAACTGCTAACCTGCAGCGAACTACCGCTGAAATGATCAGACTCAACACTGAGAACGAGGTATATGCTGCTAAACTACCACAATTGCAAGCTGAATTGCTAGACGAGACGTCGCAAGTAGATGAAACACAAGCCCAATCCGTGCAGACTCAGCTGGCTTTGACGCAACTTAGGGCACGATCGCATGTCCTCCAAACACGAAAAAATTCTCTCGAGGCGCAGAATAACAAATTAACACAAAAACTACGAGAATGTCAGCAACAATTGAGGCGTAAAACGGCAGCGTTGCAGCAACAGACCGAAAAGGCGAACAAATTTGAGCTCGACTTGAACCAGCTCAAGACCACTCACACACAAGAAAAACTCGACTGGAAGAACCGGTTGACGGCTGCATTAAAGCGATTTGAGCACGATAAAACGAAGTTAGAAAATGAATTCAAAGCTGCAGAGAGAAAAGTGGTCCGTGAGATGAAGGGCAGAGCGGAGAAAGCTCTTAAGAAGCGACGTACTGCAGAAGCCACGACTGTTAGGCTGAACGAGCAACTGAAGCAATGCAAATGGGAACTCTCATCGGCTAATGACATGGTCCTAGGCCGCACAAACGAAGTCCGAACTCTCGAGGCTCTTCTGCGCAAGGCACATCGTACTGAAGCCACGCTTCGCAATGACCTGGCTATCTGTAAGACTAGGTTACACTCTCTTCAGGACGAGAAGAAGCGTAGCATGGCACGTTCTGGCATTGTGCGAACTCGTCGTCATCGACTTGGAAACCAGGTTCCTATTGAGATGCTGCTAACTGATAGTAGCGACGACGAAGACCAAGACAACCAGGTGAAAGAACAGTGTATCCATTGTCTCGCTTCAACTAAAGATCAATCTCCATGTTCACCTTGCAGTGAATGTCCACAACTTAAAGACAAGATACACCAATTGCAACAAAAACTTCGTCGCTTACGGTCACTTCACGCTACTGAATTGAACGCACAGGCCTCCGTACTGGATGCGTTGCTACAACGCAGAAACGACAGCAGGCCGCGGTAATGCATGTGGCTGGTACAAATTCTACTTGTAGAGGTCAAGATTTTGGTTCGAAAACACACTCCTTCGAGAACTTGCGGAATACTACCCAGCATTTTTACGAATTCTCAGTCTTTCGACCAATTCAAAAAGAATGAGAAGCACGGATCGTTAAATCCACGAGGGAGAGCGGCACCAACCTGATGCCCCAGAAGTAGACAACCGTCACAAATGGGCAAGATAGCATTGTGGTCAATCGGTGTTTGGTTTTCATCGTCATCGCCCCGAAAGTTTCCATCCGCACGCGTCTCCAACCTGTACTGACGAATCTGTAGACTCGAACTTCTTGCAAATTACGCATCTCAGGTGGTAGGACTGCGCTGACTTGTTCCATCGGTCCACCAGCATTCCGCCGGGTGGTGGTTCTTCATTATGGGGACCCGATAATTGATCCAGCAGCATTTGCATGGATCAAATCACCATATTCCACGATCCAAATTCTTCCGTCTCACCGCTCCATATCTCTCGGCTTAGATGCTTTGGTTAAAAGCCTTCACATAGTTAAATCAGTCGGCCACCGATGCCGAGCACAGTTCGATAGAGTTGCCATTGCGGTCAATACGCAGCAGCGAGTCCTTAACTTCATTCCAATCCAGACGATTGATGTCATCGTTGATTCAGCGCACCACCTCACAAATTCTTCAGTGTGCTCGTGCGCCATCACGATTTTAGTTTCATTTTTTATCAGAATTTTTTTTATCAGAACTGTGCAACATAAAATAACTGAGTGCGATTACATCAGTCGCTTGTGAAAGGTTTACAATTACATCACTGAAACCAAAGACTTCAATTGGTCGAAGCAAAGACGAATTCAACTTAAGCGATATATCCGTTCGCTGCTGGAGATGTTGTACACTGCGACCGTAGCTACGTTCATTGAAAATGGTTTGCCTTCCATTGACTGCGCGAGGCTGCTATTTTCTGGTGGGCCAAAGACACAGCCTCCACACTGCCATTCCAAACCTGTTCCCGTGGTCTGTAAATCCCATTATGCAACAGTGTACTGAATTTTCCAAGTCCGAGCGAGACTTTGCTTAACTGTCAACAACAAAAAGAAAGATGTCCAAAATGTAGCCATTTCACCAGAACGTGACCCAAATGTAACCATCTCGCCACGTCAGCGTTGTCTCTCTTATTGGCTAAAATTCCGATCACTTGCGTTCACTATGCTCACATGGCCACGTGTCGGCCGTTGCATCAGTTGCCTTTTACCGTCCGTCGGTATCTTCGGCGCATTCCGCATTCCGCATCAAGAGGAAACAAGACCATCACTCTTTCCTCGGACAGTATGAAGACTGTCAGGCTGCTGTTGCTCTCGCTGCTGGGCGCTGGACTTCTAGCCGCCTCGATGGTGGAGGCCATCGTGGCTGGCGTGGACTTTGGTGGCGAGTTCTTCAAAGTGGCACTCGTAAAGCCGGGCACACCCTTCGAGATCGTCACCAACGTGCACAGTAAGCGCAAGACCGAAACGATGGTGGCTTTTGACGGAGATGAGCGTCTCTACGGCGCAGACGCAGCCACTGTGGGCGTACGCAGGCCGCAGACAGCGTACGCTCAGATCCGCCGCCTCCTGGGCACGACTCTGAGCGACCCGCAGGTCTCATCACTACTAGACGAGGAGCATTTCCCCTACGAGCTAGTGCAGAACGCCACGCGAGGCGGCACCATCTCGCTCAAGCACGGCAAGGATCAGACCTTCCACGCCGAGGAGCTGGTGGCCATGGTGTTTGCCCATGCACGCCAGATCACGGACACGTTCGCCGAGGCGGCTGTCAAGGACTGGGTGCTTACGGTGCCTGCGTTCTTCTCACAGGCACAGCGTCAGGCTATGCTGGATGCGGCCGAGATTTCTGGAGTGCGTGTGCTGTCGCTTATCAACGAGAACACTGCGGCGGCGCTGCAGCTGGCGGTGCACGCTAGCTACGACCCCGAGGACAAGCCCAAGAAGATCTTGTTCTACAACATGGGATCCACCTCACTGCAGGTGAGTATTGCCGAGTTCTCCAGCCAGGTTGTGCCGGACGGATTCAAGAAAAACAAGACGATTTCTACCTTCCAGACGATCAGTAATGCCTGGGATGAGTCTCTGGGTGGTTCCAAGTTTGACCTGCGTTTGGCTGAGCACCTGGCGAAGGAGTTTAGTGAGAAGATTGGCGAGGATATCCGCAAGGTGCCTCGTCCGATGGCCAAGATCCGTGCTCAAGCCAAAAAGACCAAGACGGTGCTGTCGGCCAATGAGGAGATCCCTGTGGTCATGCAGAGTCTGTACAATGACATTGACTTCTTCACGTCCATGACTCGCTCCAAGCTCGAGGAGCTTTCTTCGGACCTGTTTGACCGCACCTTGAAGCCTGTGGAGGTGGCTCTGGAGAAGGCTGGGCTGACTGCTGCCGACATTGACGAGATTGAGATCATTGGTGGTGGTGTGCGTATGCCCAAGATCCAGCAACAGCTCACGGAGTTCTTCGACGGCAAAGATCTGGGTGTGCATCTGAA